TCCCCAGACGGAAGGTTAGTCGGAGAGGACCATCCAGATTCTAGAGGACATTCTGTGAGCATGTGTCCTAGACCTCAAGGGGAGCTGGGAGGGGAATTTACCCTTAGTAGAATTCACCTACAATAATAGTTATTAAGCAAACATACAAATGATACCCAATGAGGCACTACATGGAAGGCCTTGTCATTCTCTAGTGTGTTGGACGGAGGTTGGAGAGAGACCTTCTACGGGTCCGAATTTGATTAGAGACACCTTAGAGAAGATGGACTTGATATGAAAGCGTCTTTTTATGGTCCAGAGTCGGCAGAAGAGTTATGCTGACAGACGACGGCGACCTCTAGAGTTTGAGGTGGGAGATCACGTCTTCTTGATGGTGATGCCTAAGAGAGGAGTGATCAGGTTTGGAAAGTAGGAAAAGTTATTGCCAAGATTTATCGGGCCCTTCAAGGTACTCGAGGGGGATGGGTATAGTGGCTTACAGGTTGGCATTATTGCCAAATTTATCGGGTGTTCATGCGGTGTTCCATGTCTCTATGCTCTGAAAGTATACTCCGGATCCGACGCATGTAGTGAATTGGGGTGAGTTGATTGTTGATGTGGATGAGACCTTTGAGGAGGGACCGGTGCGTATCATAGATAGCTAGGAGCAAATTTTGTGAGGCAAGATTGTGAGGTTAGTGAAGGTGCTGTGGCAGCACCGAGGTATGGAGGAGGCGACATAGGAGCGTGAGGACACCATACGTACCAATTATCTGTTCTTGTTTGAGGATGGAGGTACATGTTTACAATTTTAAGTATAGTATTACTGTTGCATATGCGTATCATTATGTGTGCATGTATGTGTGAATTTCAGTGACGAAATTCTTTTAAGGGAAAAAAATGTAAAACTCGGGTAAATTTTAACTCTTTACAAAAAGGGGCAAAACAATAATCTGCCACTACAGTTTGGGTTGAAAACCTAAATTTTTCTAGATCTCGGGTGGCAAAACGAACCTCACCATTGGATTCGTCTCGCGAAATCTAGCTACCATGTCAATTTTTGTCGAATTTTGAGATAGTCAGATTTTTAGTGTTTTACGAGGTGATCGGGCCTGGAGTGACCTAAAGACAAATTTTTGAATAAAATTTTGAAAGTTGGAAAATAAATTACGGCAAGTTAAAATAAAAATATTTTGAACTTCAATCGAGACGAAATTTAATCATTTCGGGGCAAAAACGAATTCGGGAAAAAAGGGTCGTGTGGCGCATTGTGGACCAAGTATTTAGGGAGTATAAAAAGGGGAGAAATATCAGATTTCTCCCCATTTTTCAGCCAGTTCCAACATGAGAAAGAAGTAAGGGAAAAAGGCTTGGGTTCTCCACCTTCTGTCTACGGTCTATGGTGATTCGTTGCTCGAATCAACTCAAGCCAAGAGCAAAGATTGTTCTACGCGGCGAGGCCTACAAAACCATACCAAGAAGAATGGATTTCACCGAAGCTCCAACAATGAGCTTGGAGAAATCAAGGGTTTTGGGCAAGATTGGGGTTCTTGGAGGCTTCAACCAAGTGAGTTTATGCTTCAAGAGTTAGGGTTCCCTTCTACTTAGGTTTATCTCCAACCTAAGAGGTTTATATGGAATGGGTAGGTTGATAGAGTTATATATATCACTTGCCCATTATGCTGATTTGGTGAAATGGGTAGAATAAATTCTATCTTAAATTGGGTATGTAGAAATTATTTAGTGGAATTTCTTGAGAAATGTGAAAATTACTAATTTGTAGTTTCTTAGTAAGAATGTCATTTTGGATATGTTATGTGTTTATATTATGCCTTGTTGAACTTAGTGTGTTAATTACATGTTTATGTGATAACATGCTTGGGAATTATTGTTGTGTATGATGTTAATATATGCTTTATGATATGTTAGCATTATGATGAATTGTGGAAATTATATGTTCTTGATATAATTGACAATAGAATGGTGAAATTGCTCAATTGACATTCATCGCATATTAGGCATGATGTTGGCATCACATTCATGAGCATTGGGCATGAGTGTGAGTGTGTGTGCAAGGTTCAATCAAACACCATACTTGATGGGTGAGCTCGAAAAAGGTTGGAATGAAGTTCCGACTGAGTCGCACGGTTGCATAAAAAAACTTGTGTCGGGTATAGCAAGAAGGGCTAGACTCTCATTTGGGTGCAAGACCCAACTACTGGTTTATACACTTCCGTCAGTGCTAGTCCAAAAAAGTGTATCGATGTACGTAGCCGGTAGTGTGACACCAAAAGTCCGCTACCCAACAAAGACACATGATTTTGTTTATATAAAATTGTCATTCGGTGTGTAACACCAATAACGGGGGGCTTGGAAGTGCCCATTTTTCATACACTGGCATTGCATTGTGTGGTGGGAGCCGGTGAAGGCTCGAGTTAGAGTACATGAGTGAGTTTCATTTCATATCATGACATGACTTGGTATATTCCAACATTGAATGCATGTTCTTGTTTGGAATGTTGTGGATTGTTGAATGTTGCATGTAGACCTTTCATATGCACTTAGATTGGGGAGTAGCCTCTTTAGGATATACCCTATTAAGCGTGACTTTCTCTTTATGGGACAACAATTTTAGGTACGGGATTTACATCGGCGGACGGATCCCATTTCGAGCCTCGAGGGTGAAAGATGTCGACTTGTGGCTTTTATTGCTTATTTTGTAAAACCTTTATGAAAATTCCATTTTGATGTGTAAATATATGGAATTGTATGTAATAGAACTTGTAAGTATCATGTTTATGTGAAAAACTCTATTAAACTTGAATTGGATGGTTGTGGAATGGATTGGGTTGGTTTGGAAATGAAAAGCAGGTAAAACAGGCAATTCTGGGCAAAACCTACCGGTAGAAACTTTATAGTAGACAAAATCAACCAATAGGTCTATAAAAACCTACCAGTAGCTTTTTCAAAAATCTGATATTTTAATAGAAGTTTTCCAGTGGATCAAACCTACCGGTAGGTCCATGCAAATCTCCAAGTAGATCTTTCAAAAATCTAAAATTTTAAAAGTGCTTTGACATGTTTTTGGGCTATGTATTCCCTCATTTCAAAAGGTGTAAATGGACCTTATTGGGGTATAACTTGAGGTATATTAGACCTCGGATAGGTCAATTGAATTAAAAGTATATAGTTTGTGGGTTTTTGTCATCCTGGTAAAGGGGATGTGATAGCATGGTGTCGAGTTAAGCGGCATCCACGGGTTGATAGGTGATCAACAGTTTGACAAAGGACCCCTGGTTTTAGGGGCGTAACAGTACTGGCTTTCATGATCACCGTATTGGCTTTCTCCATCTTTATTCTCTTGCGCAGGTACGTGTGAAGGGGGTACACGTGAGCTCCCTGCGTGCTGAAGAGGGGCTGCTGAGTGACAGGCTCCCTGATGTGGCCTTAGAGCATTCTAGCTAAGGGCCCAATGGTTAGGGGTTGCCTGGTGCCCAAAAGGGATGGGTTGCTGCTCCTCTCCTGTAGGAGGGAGTGGTACTCCTCCTACAAGGTGAGGGGCGGTGCCTCCCTGGGCGAGCATCAGTTGAATGATCTGCTAGTTTTGTTTTACCAGTAGTTGCATAGTCTATAAGAGCTGTTGTTATTGTCCATTCGTGGTAGCAGATAGCTTTGAGGGTGCAAGGGGAGGTGGAGCCTCCTCCCAGTGAGCTGGGTTGTTGTCTTCTGGTTGTTTACTCATCAATCTAGTTGTGATTACCATGGATTGAAAGAGAGTTGGAAATTAGTCATTTCCCACAGACGGCGGCAAACTGATGATGCAAAAATCGATATTGCACAAAATCAACAGTCAAGGATGTGTACGGATGCAATTAATCAGCAGTAAACAATGAAATAATAATAAAGTCATAAATAAAGAAACAACATAGAGGTTTATAGTGGTTAGATCCTGGTGACCTACTCCACTCTCGAGAACGGCAGTAGTGACCTGAGTCTTTTATTAATGAATGAAATTACTAGAGAGTGTATTCTCCAGGAGTATTGCAATATTTTTGGGAGAGAGAGAGAGAGTAATGTGTAGGGAGGTGTAGTATGTGCAAGGATCTCAAGGTGTAGAGGCCTCAAAATGTGATGTGAAGGTGTCTCTCCTTGTGGAGAGAGCTTGCATTATATAGGTTTACAAAGGCAGTGAGGAGGTGACGTGAGGGAGAGGTCTTCCACTTTTTTTGTAAGTACAATTATGGCAGGATTAGATCTCTGTATCCGGATATTCTTTCTCGTGTGTTTCTATTCCATCGGAGGAAGATCCTGAGTTGGGTTGGAGTTTAGTTGGAAAGACCAAGTGAGGAGAGAGATCATTAAGGCGATACCCATATGAGAAGGGAAGAGCATGGCATGGAGAAAAGTAGGGTTCCCCTTGGGGTGGCCTCCTCGGGCGGCGCCCCTTGGGGTCTTCTTCGAGCCCTGGTCTCTTGGTCTCCCTTTGGGCCTGGTGTCTTGGGCTCCTTGTTGACTTGATGACTTGGGCTTCGAGATGCCGTGGGTCTCTCTTGATTCGTTGGGCCTGACCTAGTTAACCTTGGGTTCATCAAATATGATTACTGAATCTTTAAAAGAGAATAAAATCTCCCAATTAAACATTTGAGTATGTATTTGAATTTTCCTTGATTTGATATGGTTATCCATTAAAAGATGATAAAATCTCACCATTAAATATTTGAGTTTTAAAAATGTTTCTCTTTGGGTTTAAAAAAAGGTTTTTTTATTTATTTATTGGTATGGGTATGACTCTAGTACTGAAAAAATATTTTAGATAATTTTTATCTAAATTTAAATTTTAGTATAAAAAAGGTAAAGATGGGAAATGTTTTATTGAAAATTTTTTTTAAGAATTTTTTGTCTAAATTTAAATTTGAGCTTAAAAACAGTAAGATCGGGGAGATTAAGTCAGTTTCTCAATTTGGTTTTTAAGTTTTGAAGATACAAGTGTCTTTCTTCACTCTCTCTTCTGTCTTTATGAAATGGCTTCCACGACACACTACAGCTTAATCTCAACACCCCAAGAAGAACACGATACATCCACAGCCATCAATTCATCTTCATCCTCTTCAATAGTCCGATTCGGCACTCCTGAAGCCCTTGAACCGGTTCGGAAACTCACCGATGTGGGAGCCATGACTTGTCTCCTCCACGAATGCATTGCCTACCAACTAGCCTTGGATCTTGAACTAGACATCATTCTCTCCCAACGCTCCGATCTGGACAAACAACTCTCCATCCTCCACATGCGATCTCACCGATCAGGTTAGTGGCAAAGTCTACCAACTTGATCTTGCTCAGTCCCGCATCAATGACAAACTTCTTTGCATTGACACCATCGTAGAGAGAGGTAATTGCATTGATGGAGTTAAGAAAGCTCTCCAAACTGAAGATTTTGAATCGGCTGCTAAATCCATCTAGACCTTCCTCCAGATCGATGCCAAATACAGAGATTCTGATTCGGATCAGAGAGAACTGTTGCTAACATCGAAAAAATAGCTGGAAGGAATTGTCAGGAAGAGGTTATCGGCTGTTGTGGATCAACAGGACCACCCGACGATCCTTCAGTTCATTAGATTATACTCTCCTCTCGGTTTGGAGGAAGAAGGATTTCAAGTGTACATAAAGTTATTTGAAGAAAGAAATTTTGATGAGATCTAGCCTCGAATTCGAGCAATTGGCGGAATAGATGGAGCAACAACAATCCTCTGCCACTGCTATTAATCAAAATCAAGTGAACTTTGTTGCTTGTTGACGAATTTGTTCAAAGACATTGTGTTAGCCATAGAAGAAAATAATGAGATTTTAAGGAGTAATCTATGCGGTAAAGATGGAATTGTGTATGCCATATGTGAGCTTCAAAATGAGTGTGATTCTCGAGGTTCCGTAATTTTAAAGAAATACATGGAATATCAGAAATTGGCTAAGTTGACATCTGAAATTAATACTTACAAAAGTAACTTACTTTTTGTTGGAGTCCAAGGACCAAACCCAAGTGAGATCGAATTGTATTTGGAATAGATTTTGCAATTGACACAGTTGGGTGAGGACTACACTGATTATATGGTGTCCAAGATAAGAGGTTTGAGTTCAGTTGATTCGAAATTACTTCCCCGAGCAACCAGAGCTTTTAGGAGTGGAAATTTCAGTAAAGTTGTTCAGGGCATTACGGGTTATTATGTGATTTTGGAGGGTTTCTTCATGGTGGAAAATGTGAGGAAGGCTATTAGCATTGATGAGCATGTACTTGACAGCTTCACAACGTCCATGGTGGACGACGTGTTCTATGTTCTACAGAGTTGCTTCAAGAAGTCGATATCCACTTCTAATATTAACTTAGTGATTGCGGTACTGAGCAGTTCTGTGAGTTTGTTGGGTGGCGAGTATAATGAAGCATTGCAGAAGAAAATGAGGGAGCCTAACCTTGGAGTGAAGTTGTTCATGGGTGGTGTTGGTGTGCAAAAGACTAGGACAGAGATTGTGATAGCTTTAAATAACATGGATGTCAGTAGCGATTATGCACTGAAACTACAACATGAGATTAAAGAACAATGTTTAGAGGTCAATGGCAATTGTACTTCTCTGTTGGTTATTTCTATTCAATCCCCATCTTTCTTTAGGATTTTTTTTGTTTTGGCTCTTTGTCTGGGCAGAGCTTTGCATTCAAAGTTTCAGTTCTTAAAAGAGTAGACTAAAATTTCTAGTTCATACATAACACAATGTGGTCTTGGCTTGCTTCTCTTTCCATATACAAATTTTATTTAATGGAACATAGACCTCTCTTATTTCTAGTAATAATTTAGGGACCATGTTTAGCTTGGGTACTAAATTAAGTCCCAACATCAATTTGAAAATAGTGCCACATGTTATATTTTTGGATAGGAACTTTTAGGTGCTCAACTGCTACAGTTTGAACCATGTTCAACGTGATGAGGCTAAGTTCATCGAGTTAGGCCGTTTCGCCGACGATTAGGTGGCCACAAGCATGGCCAAAGTGAGGAGGTTTGAGGATGGTCTGAAATTATCCATTCGAGGAAAGATTGTGGGCCTCCGCCTACAAGATTTGGATTCGATGGTCAAAACTACAATGGCCATTGAACGAGAGGTGGATGATGCAAGGAACATTCAGGAGGCTGGAACTAAGGATAGGAAGAAGGAGGGACAATTCTCTTCTTCTTGTTCGGGGAAGAGGTAAAGGACTTCTACTCCCCAAGGACATCAAGGACAGGGCCACTGCTACCAAGGCCAAGGCATAGGCCAATCCTCCCAAGGCGGGAGACATTTTAGGGTTTCCAGCCAAGGAGGCTCAGAGGCATGTTTCTATTGCCACCAACCAGAGCATATGAAGCAAGATTGTCCTCAGATGCAAGGATCCCAAAGCTATGGAACATTTTAGTCTCAATCATTAGTGGGGCAGCCATAGACACACTATGTTCCTCCCTACCCTACCATACACCAAGGCAGCCAATACCAGTTCTAGGGTGCTACTTAGGCCCATACCACTTCATGAGTGGGGATTCTGCAATCAGGCCAGATGGGCCAGGGCATGGGTCAAGGCCGATGATAGGGCATGCAGGTCAAGACTTTGGGGACCTAGGGTCGTGTCTACGCCATCATATCTTAGATTGAGCCAGCGGATCAGTCTGTTATCCATAGTACATTTATTCTCTCTTGCTTATGGGTTAGGGTATTATTTGACTCTGGTGCATAGCATTCATTCATTTATGCATCTTTCATGAGAGATTTGGACTTAGAGGTTGAGACTTTGGAGGAGCCAATATACGTGAGTTCTCCCCTAGGTGCTAGGGTGACTGTTGATCAGATATGCCAGGGTTGTCAGTTAGAGATCACGGGGGATTCTACTCACCATGGACCTCAGAGTCATGGATATGTCAAAGTTTGATGTCATCCTTGGGATGGACTGGTTGACAGCACACCGAGTTGTCATTAATTGTGATCATAAGAGAGTCATTGCTTATACACCTAATGGTGTTTGTTTCAAGTTCCAGGTAAAAAGCAAGATGCCTTACCCTAAGTCATATACGACTCTAGAGGGCACGGGCAGTTGATGGGTTGGCTTGTGAGCCTTATCTTGGAGGACTTGGTGAGACAAGAGTTGGGTCTACCTCGGGTTGTTTCTAAGTATGAGGATGTTTTTTTGGACGAGTTACCGGAATTACTTCCTCGTAGGGATGTGGACTTCAGTATTAAGTTTCATCCTAGTACTTCTTCTATTTCTATGACTCTACATAGAATGGCACATGCCAAGTTGTAAGAACTCAAAGTCCAATTGCAAGAATTGTTGGACAAGTGTTTTATCAGACCAAGCACTTCGCCTTGGGGCACTCAGGTATTGTATACCAAGAAGAAAGATAAAAATCTTCGGCTATGTATAGACTACCAGCATTTGAATCGGGTTACTATCAAGAATAGGTACCCTTTGCCGAGGATTGACGATCTATTTGATCAGTTGAGGGGAGCACGGGTCTACTCTAAGATAGATCTTTGCACAGGCTACCATCAGCCGAGGATTAGGGAGGCGGACATCTCTAAGACAACGTTCAGAATAGGGTACAAATATTTCGAGTTCACAGTGATGACATTCGGATTCACGAATGCCCTAGTGGCATTCATGAATCTCATGCATAGGGTGTTCCAACCCTATTTAGATTAGTTCGTAGTGGTGTTTGTAGACGACATCCTAATCTACTCCAAGTTTGAGGATGATTATTCTCCAGACCTTGAGGAACCATCAGTTGTATGCCATGTTCAGCAAATGCAAATTTTGGCTTATGGAGGTGAAGTTTTTGGGACATGTGGTGTCGGCTTCGGGGGTATCCGTGGACCTGGAGGAGGTTAAGACGGTAAAGAATTGAGAAAGGGCGAAGTCAGTCTTCGATATACGCAGTCTCTTGGGATTGACGGGGTATTACAATAGGTTCATTGAGGATTTCTCTCGATTAGCTGCCCTTATGATGAGATTGACCCGAAAGGAAGTCAAGTTTGAGTGAAATGATTCATGTGAGAAGGCATTCCCGGAGTTAAAGAGGAGGCTTAGTTCGGCTCCTATTTTGATAGTCCCAGAGAGAGGACAGATGTACATAGTTTACTGTGATGCCTCTAAAGATGAACTTGGCTTTTGGTTCTCGACAATTAAAGAACCACGAGCAAAATTACCCCACACATGACATAGAGTTGGCAACCATTGTATTTGCTTTGAAGGCTTGGCGCCACTATTCGTATGGTGAGAAGTTTGAGGTTTTTTCGAACCACAAAAGTCTGAAGTACATCTTTACTCAGCAGGACCTCAACATGAGGCAGTGTAGGTGGATGGAGTACTTGAAAGATTACGACTTTACTTTGTATTACCATCCGGGTAAGGCAAACATTGTGGCTGATGCACTTAGCCTAAAGTCACGGGGAGTTTTGACTAGTGTGGCTTTCCAGGAGTGGCAGATGCTCGAGATTGTGAGATAGCTTGGGCTACACTATAGGGGTCAGACACAGGGAACTTTGGGGGACTTAGTGGCGGCGCCTTCCCTACTGAGCAAGGTGATTGAGTCCCAGAGGTGGGACACTAAGTTATCATCCATTAAGGACCAGGTACAAGAAGGTACAGGTGATGAGGGCTGGGCCATTCATGCGAATGGAAGTCTTCGGTATAAGGGAAGGGTTGTTGTTCCCCAGTCGACGGATCTGAGAGAGGAGATCCTCAGGGAGTTTCATTGCTCTAATTTTACAGTTTATCCAGATGGCACGAAGATGTATCATGATCTTCGTCGCCAGTATTATTAAAGGGGGATGAAAAGGTAGGTTGGTGATTTCGTTAGTAGATGTCTTACGTGTCAGTAGGTTAAGGCAAAACACGAGAGACCAGCAGGTTTGCTCCAGCCATTGGAGGTGGCTGAATGAAAGTAAGAACACGTCACAATGGATTTTGTGACACACTTGCCACAGACATCACAGGTGCATGATGCGGTGTGGGTGATAGTGGATTGGCTGGAGTTCTATACATTATATATATGAGAGATAGCCTGGTTGCATGGGGTGCCCGTATCTATTGTATCAGACCGGGACCCAGATTTGTGGCTCACTTTTGGGAGAGCTTCCAGCGAGTCATAGGGACATAATTGACGGTGAGTACGACATTTCACCCTAAGATGGACGGTCAGTCGAAGAGGACCATCCAGATTCTAGAGGATATGCTGCGAGCATGTGTGCTAGACCTTAAGGGGAGTTGGGAATAGCATTTACCCTTAGTGGAAGTCGCCTACAACAATAGTTATCAGGTGAGCATACAGATAGTACCCTATGAGGCACTATATGGGAGGCCTTGTCATTCTCCAGTGTGTTGGACAGAGGTTGGAGAGAGACCATCTACGAGTCTGAATTTGATTAGAGACACCTCAGAGAAGGTGGTCTTGATACGAAAGCGTCTTCTTACAGCTCAGAATCAGCATAAGAGTTATGCCAACAAACGACGGCAACAGCGACCTCTGGAGTTTGAGGTGGGAGATCACGTCTTCTTGAAGGTGATGTCTAAGAGAGGAGTGGTTAGGTTCAAGAAGCAGGAAAAGCTGTCGCCGAGGTTTATCGGGCCCTTCGAGGTAATCGAGATGGTGGGTACAATGATTTACAGGTTGGCGTTACCGCCAAATTTATCAGTTGTTCATGCGGTGTTTTATGTCCCTATGCACTGAAAGTATACTCCGGATCCGACGCATGTAGTAGATTAGGGTGAGTTGATTGTTGATACGGATGGGATCTTTGAGGAGGGACCAGTGCATATCATGGATAGTCGGGAGCAGGTTTTACGAGGCAAGACCGTGCGGCTAGTGAAGGTGTTCTGGCAACACCGAGGTGTGGAGGAGGCGACATGGAAGCGTAAGACACCATACGTACCAATTATCTATTTTTGTTTGAGGTTGGAGGTACATATTTACAATTTAAAGTACAATATTACTGTTTCATATTAATATCATTATGTGTGCATGCATGTGTGAATTTCGGGGAAGAAATTCCTGTAAGGGAAAAAAATGTAAAACCCGGGTAAATTTAAATATTTTACAAAAAGGGGCAAAATAATAATTTGTCACTATAGTTCGGATTGAAAACTTGAAATTTTCTAGATCTTGAATGATGAAACGGACCTTATCATTAGATTCGTCTCGCAAAATCTATCTACCACGTCAATTTTCATCGAATTCTGAGATAGTCAGATTTTTTACATTTTACGAGGTGATTGGGCCTCGGGTGACCCAAAGAAGAAATTTTGAATAAAATTTTGAAATTTGGAAAATAAATTAAGGCAAGTTAAAATAAAAATATTTTGAACTTGAATCGAGACGAAATTTAATCATTTCGGGGCGAAAATGAACCTGGGAAAAAAGGGTCGTCTGGCGTATTGTAAACCAAGTATTTTGGGAGTATAAAAAGGGGAGAAAAATCAGATTTATCCCCATTTTTCAGCTGGTTCCAACGTGAGAAAGAAGTTAGGGAAAAAGGCTTGGGTTCTCCACCTTCTCTCTACGATCTACGGAGATTCGTTGCTCGAATCAACTCAAGCCAAGAGCAAAGATTGTTCTACGCAGCAAGGCCTAAAAAACCATACCAAGAAGAACGGATTTCACCGAAGTTCCAAGAACAAGCTTGGAGAAATAAAGGGTTTTGGACGAGAATGAGGTTCTTAAAGGCT